ATGGAGAATGTGTGGTTGAAAAAGAAGAAAAAGTTATCGAGATGATGGAAAATATTATTTTATTGAAGAATGTGGTTGAAAATGAGTAGAAGAATGAGAATGAAAATTTTAATGTGACTCAAACAGGTGCTAACTATCATTATCTTTTCTTACGCTCTCTCCCTCTCTCTATACACAACACCTTTTATCTTTGATACCATTCTCTCTCTACTCTCTCTCTAAATAAAGATTTGGCAGCCACACCAGTTGTTGAGGGCGTCGACGAAGCCGGAAGCACCAGTGTACTATTGTTCCGCTACATCTTGAACGTCACCATGTCCTAAGCTCTGGCGGCCTCGATGATGGTGTCAAACTTATCGAGCCAAATGCACGAGCCACGCCAATTTAAACCCCAAATCTCCATGGCCTACCTTTCCTACGGTCGTTGTATCACTCTGTTGTTGAGGTTGCAGTTACAAAATCGTACATCACCATTTGTCAAATCATTGCCTTGTGATCGCATGGATAGTAGCCTTGCAATCGAGTCCATTTACAAGTTGGTCCTCGTATTCAATTCTTTATTCAGCTCAAGTCCCTTTTAATTGTAATTCAAGTCCTCCATCTTCTAATTTGTATCACCTTTGTCCAAGTTTTCTCAATTATGCACAAACCACGTCTTTTTTTTTCCCCGTTGTCATTTTCTCCAAAAACTCATCCAATGTCGATTTTACCAATACAAATAATATTTACATGAATTTAAGAAATATTTTCCTAAAAATACCATCAGATATCCTTTTTTTACTGCCTAAATAAGTGCATCTATTACACGTATCGATGATTCCTATCTTCACAAGCCTTGAGCATACTTTTTAGTATGGTTTATATTAATGCCTTAACAACATTTTCAATTGACTTCGTGATTTTCATTTTCACTTTGAAGTTTATTATAAATCGCTAAGGTATCAGCTCTGATTTTGATTGTAAGGCAGAATTTAATGCTTTCCAATTTTTCAAGTTTTTGAGAATATCGGATAGTCTTAGCAATCGATGCAGTGCTAGTGGTTGTGGAATTGGGTAGTGGTGTGTGGGTTATGGTGGTTGTGTTGATTTTTGATTTGATGTGGATGTGGATGTGAATGTGGATGTGGAGGCGGTTATGGTGGCGACAAGATTATGGGAAGTGCATGTAGCTATGGAGTTGGTGGATTGAAGGAGGTGGCAGAGGGTTTGTGTTTAGGTGGTGGCGGCGACAGCAATTGCATTTTCGTAAATATCTACGTGGTGGTGATGGGACAAGGTTTTTTCTGGTGGTGCCGACAATGATAGGAGCGATGGTGGGTGGAGTGGAGAAGATGGGATGAAGAACGATTACGATCAATTATTAGGTAATTGTGACTAATTAAACGAATAAATTGTGATCAATAAATAATATATGACCTAAAAATATATGTAATTTGTTCCTACAATAATTTGTGATCGAGAAAAAAACTTGTAATTAATTAATTTGATAAATTGTAGCCGTGAAATAAATTGTGACATATGAAATTTGTAATTTGCGATCCATAAATAAGTCTTGACCAATTAATTTGATAAATTTGTTTGATAAATAAATTGTGATATATAAAATCTGGAGATCATTCTGTGACTGTGACTAGTACGTAACTGTGACTATAAACTGTATATTATTGGGACCTTAGCCTATTTAATTGATAAAATATATTTAATTAACTAATTAATTAATACTACTTGATTTTTGGAAGGAATGTATAACCGATTCCTTGATTTAAGGGAGGATATTTTTAAATATCTTTCATTATTTAGGTAGTTATGTATTTTTCTCATAAATTTTTTTTCTTACGTATCAACCCAGTACGGAAAAAATCTTCGTCCTCGAGCTTCGTCTCTAATTGATAGTGTGAATGACTATCTTTTAAATGAAATTAAAGGATTGTGTCCGCCATAATATCAAAGATAAAAATACTTGTACATCGCCCCCCAACCTATCACAGGGTGTTGTTGAGCCCCTGGCATTACTGAGGCCAACGTGGTGGCCCTGGTAATGTAGCATGATTCTAATATCATATAAATATTTGATACTACTTTACACCATAATTTCATTCTAAATTATTTATAAGATTTAGCTCCAAGTTTGATATCGATTAAAATTTAGATTTTAATTTAAGTCAAAGTCAATAATTCATTTCAACCATATATTTTATGGGTTTCATAACTTTTCAATCACACATTTCATCAACTTCTATCAAATTTTACTATAAATCTGATTTTAATTCTCACTAATTGAGCGAGCATAATAAAAATTGTTTGCAACCAAGTTTAGTAAGTGATTTTTGTGTATGTATAATTAGCTTTGAAAAAATAACATATTTTTGGCATATTTATATATTTTTGAATCATTAGTTGTCCGACTTCAGTTCTATTAAGTGGGAACTCTTTAGTTAAAAACTTAAATTATTTTTTTTCAATAAATTAATTTTGCACGTAGACCTAAAATATTTTCCTACTTTTAACAATGCAATCTAAAATAAATCACTATTTATAAAATATATTTTCAAAAATGAGGTTAAAACAAGGGCTAATTAATTATAGTATATATAATTTTAGTTGTAATATGCATTATTTTATTTATTCAGTGGTCTTAAAATAATTAGAATAATATTAAAAATTTAAAAAGCGTTTTTAGAATATTAGAATTAAAGTTTTGTAGTCTGATTACCTCATGATCAAAAGTTCACTAACGTGATTTCAAGTAAAGCTAAATTTTACTGATCATGGGTAAAATTTAGGGTCTGTTTGTTTTTTATTCTCAAATTTTACAGTAAATCAATTCTCTTTTTCAACCACACATTTTTCAATAAAATAATATTTTCCATCACATCAATACTTTTTTCTTCTTTTTCAACCACACACTTCCCATCATATCACTATTCAAAAATCAATTCTTCNGCATTTTTCAATAAAATAATATTTTCCATCACATCAATAATTTTTTCTTCTTTTTCAACCACACATTTCCCATCATATTACTATTCAAAAATCAATTCTTCCCCCAAAAATCCCTACCAAACATGCACTTACTTTGCTAACTTGGTCGTGCGTGTAGAGATTTCATTACTCTTAACGTTCACATTACCAATTATGTTAAGTGGTTGAATTGAAGATTTAAGGGAGTGACCTAATTGCTCACAAATTAAATGACATTGGTGTGATTGCTCTTAATTAAAATTCAATAACCTAATTGCAAATAAGGGTAAAGGTTCAGCGACCTTGGGTGAAACGAGTTTTGCCACATGTACGTCTTACTTTACCATTTGATTTACATTTTTATACTTGACAAAATCTCACATTATCTTTGACAAAAAACAACTTTAATCCAACCATTGAAAAATTGCCACCTATTTTGGGTGTAAAACATGATATAAAAGTAGTTTAATTCATTACACAAACTCCCTTGTAAAAGGAAAATGCTTATTCTACATAACTATTTTCATAATGAAGAGGTGTCAAAATATAAGCGAGGAAATTATTTGATTGATGAAATTTTAATCCAATTTAAATCTCGTCATATCATTTGTTTGTTAATCATTATGCTCATGTTTGACACCCATTCTTTATCTCATTCTCATTTGTTTCTTATTTCATTTCAACCACACATTCTTCCAATAAAATAATATTACACACAAATCTAAAATTTTTTATAACTTTTCCATTACACATTTTCCCATGAATCACTGTTTTAAAATTTTTTATCTTCAAAAAGTGGGTGTCAAACACATTTTCCCATCAATCACTGCTATTTAGTAGTGACTTTTGCAGTGTCAAGAACGACTTTAACCATAAAAACCAGCAAACACATTCTCTTCCCTTCTCAGTCGAAGGAAGGATTGTCATTTCATTTCTCAGATTTTGTCCTTCAATCAAACTATAGTAATTTGGAGGAAAAACAGGCTCTCGGTTAGTAATTTTCATTTCTCCTCTCCGTTTATTTTTCATTTTTAAAAATAAAAAATA